CTGCTGGACTTTGCCAAGGCAAGGTAGGACAGTCCTTCAAAATCCTGCTTCTGAAAAAAAAATAATAATCTATCAGACATTCTAGGCTTGTGGGCCAAGTATGGATGCCCCAATGCTTCAGAGGAACCCTGGGTGACTGTCCAGGCAATCAGCTGTTTCTGTCATTTCTCACATTTTTTGGAAGTCACTTGCTTGTACTTCCTGCATACTCAAGTAATATTATTTCCTTCCTTCTCAGGTCTTTGATGGGGTTGAAGATGAGACAGTTACAATTACATTTCTCCCGAATCTTGGCAAAAACCATATTAGGTACAAAACTCTGACCTTTTCAGGAGAGGACAGGCTTCAATGCTACAGAGAAACCTTGTCTTGAAAAACCAAAAATAAAAAAGAAAAGAAAAGAAAAATAAATTTAAAATCAAGATACTTAGATTATAAATTATTTTAGATAGCACTGAGATTTTCTTTTTGTCTGGGCTTACTTGGTCAAAGAAAGTGAAACTGGTTCATACATTGCTTTGAAGGCAAGGTGAATACTTGAAGTATTTTTGACTACTTGAGTGACTCAACTTCACTTAAGTTTAGAGATATTTCTTTCTTTTTTGTTGCTTTTGAGACAGGGTCCAATGTAACCCAGGACTGCCTGTAACTCTGGATGCTTCTGTCTCCACAAGTGCTGGAATATGAGGCCTGTGCCACATGTAGACTTTTCAATTTCTTTAGATTGCCTATTACAGTGGAAAGAACATAGTCTTTAGAGTCATTCTCCTTTGTTGCTTTTGTTGTTTTGAGATAGGATATCTTATAGCCCAGGTTGGCCAGGGTCTCATGTAACCCAAACTAACCTCAAACTCTTATGTAGTTAATATGACCTTATACTTCTGATCCTCCTACCTTCACCTCCTGAGTGCTAAGATTTTAATTGTGCACCATACCTGGTTTATGTTGTACTGGGGATCAAACCCAGAGCATTGTATATGGCAAGCAGTACACTACAAAACCAGGTTGCATTCCTTGTATTTTTTTTTTTTTTTTTGATTTTTCGAGACAAGGTTTCTCTGTGGCTTTGGAGCCTGTCCTGGAACTAGCTCTGTAGACCAGGCTGGTCTCGAACTCACAGAGATCCGCCTGCCTCTGCCTCCCGAGTGCTGGGATTAAAGGCGTGTGCCACCACCGCCCGGCTGCTACAATGTTTTATCTCAGTATCTGGGCATGGAGGTCCACACCTGCAATCTAGGTACTGGGGAGATGAAAGCAGGCGGCGTGGGGGGTGCACATCTGTAATCTAGGTACTGGGGAGGTGAAAGCAGGTGGCTCGCTCACCCACACAGAAACAAAATATTTTACCCTGTGTTTTTTCCCCTTAACAGGTATATTTAAATAAAATAGCACAATCCCATACCAGTATGAACATATGCTAATCTTTTTGCATGAAGAGAAGCAATTATTATTACTCAAAACCAATGTACTAAAAGAAACTTAAGCCAGACTGTAGTGGTACACAACTTTAATCATAGCACTTGGGAGGCAGAGACAGGCAAATCTCTGAGTTCAACGCCAGCCTGGTCTACAGAGTAAGTTTCAGGGTAGCCAGGTCTACATAGAGATACTCTATCTGGGGGGCACTAGGAAGACTTAACTGTTCTACTTAATAAAACCTTGCTATACCTGAGTCACTTCTTCATACATGTACAGCTACTTCGTAACTATAAACTAGCACTATTAGAATGTCAAAAGATACCACTTTAAGAGCTGCCTGACACAATTAACTGGCATAGGGAAGCAAATCATAGTTTATACATTAAACTTGCAGAGTGTGAACCTATCAACACAACACTGGGAGGCTGAGGACTGCCTCATTTCCAGGTTGGGCTGAAGTCTGGGCTACACAGTGAGTTCTAGGCTGAGCTAGAGTTTGAGATTCTGTCTCAAAAACAAGCCATGGCTGGGCATGGTGGCACAGCACATGCCTTTAATCCCAGCACATAGAGGCAGAGGCAGGTGGACTTTTATGAATTTGAGATTACCTTAATATAAATAATGAATTCCAAGCCAGTCAGAGTTACATAGTGAGACACTGTCTCAAAAAGGAATTTTAAAAGGAATTCTGGGCCAGGCAGTGGCGGCCCACACCTTTAATCCCAGCACCTGGGAGGCAAAGGCCAGCCTGGTCTACAGAGTGTTACAGGATAGCCTGGGCTACACAGAGAAACACTGTCCAAAACAACAACAAAAGAATTCCAGGTTGGAAAGATAGCTCAGGAATTAAAGAGTGTTGCGCTTGCAGAGGACCTAAGTTTGATTCCTAGCATCCACATCACAATTCACACCTGCCTATAACTCTAGCTCCTGGAAGACTGACTACCTCTTAACCTCCACAGACACCTTGACATACATACATGTGCATACCCACATATACATAAAATATAATAATAGTAACAAATATTTTAAAAAAAAAAACTTGCCAGACACAGTGGTGGCACGTGATTTTAATCCCAGCACTCGAGAGGCAGAGGCAAGAAAAAAAAGGGAGAGAAAAAAAACTTTTAGAATCTCTGAGTTCAAGGCCAGCCTGGTCTACAGAGCAAGTTCCAGAACAGCCAGGGCTACACAGCAAAACCCAGTCTCAAGAAAGAGAGAGAGAGAGAGAGGCGGGCGATGGTGGCGCACGCCTTTAAGCCCAGCACTCGGGAGGCAGCAGAGGCAGGCAGATCTCTGTGAGTTCGAGACCAGCCTGGTCTACAGAGCTAGTTCCAGGACAGCCTCCAAAGCCACTGAGAAACCCTCTCTCGAAAAACGAGAGAGAGAGAGGAGAGAGGAGAGAGAGAGAGGAGAGAGAGAGAGGAGAGAGGAGAGAGAGGAGAGAGGGGAGAGAGGGGAGAGAGGAGAGAGGAGAGAGGAGAGAGGAGAGAGGGAGAGAGAGAGAGGAAAGAGAGAGAGAGAGAACTTTTTTTTATTGATATTTATTGAGCTTTACTCCTGAGTAAATTGGGAGCATGGGGACCTTGAGGGAGAATTAAAGGGGGGGGAGGGGAGAGTCAAGTAGGGGAGCAGAGAGAAAAAGCTTTTTTTTTTGGTGGAGGTTCAAGACAGGGTTTCTGTGTGTAGCTTTGGTGCTGATCCTGTAACTAGTTCTTGTAAATCAGGCTGGCCTTGAACTCACAAGATCAGCCTGCCTCTGCCTCTGGAGTGCTGGGATTAAAGGCTTACACCACCACTGCCAGGACAAAAAAAAAAAAAAAAAAATAAAAAAAAAAAAAAAAACCCTAGAATTAGAACTATCAGTATAGGTACACAACTACTTCACTTATCACTTGACAATAGTAGCCTGCAAATAGGCAATACATCCTATACACTCTAGATAAATTGAGATGGCATGTTGATTCTGATATGGCTTTGTTCACATATAGACAACACTCCAACTTTTACCTGAAGATACATACAAAGTTCTAGTGCACAGCTGGAACTGTTGGGGTTTACACAGCTGGGGTTAACACACTGACATAGACTGTAACATGGAAACAGAACACACAGATCAAAAGCGCTGAAGACAGATAGCATTTTAGTGAAGATAATGTCCTGTGAGAGTTAGCAAGGATGCTGAATGGTGATGACGAAGATTTAACAGATTGAAAAAAATTTTAACAGATTGAATGTAATCACTTCATGGCAGTAAGAGATAATGAAATTTCTAAAGAGCTTTGAACAGCAGAAACGATAAGACTTTTTCACATCCTTCTCTATAGTTACATATACTAAATAATGGAAAATAAATCAGTGAAGTCTTTTCAGTTAGCTTGGATTTACAAGAATGGTACTGAAAGCTCTAGGACTTACAATATTATTATTGGGTTTAAGTTTCTCTGTCATTACAAACAATAGCCACAGTGCTAAAAACAAAATATGAGTCACAATTCAAAAAAGAGGGGAAAGGGGGAGAAATGAACAGAGAAAGCTTTGAACTCAAATACCACTAAGAAATTCCTTACTTAAATGACTGCCAGCGACAGCCACCACTTTGACTTTGGAGTAAGAAGGAAAGGTCCACACTGTCCTCTCCTCTGGAACAAATTCATTTAACCCCCCCCCCCACAAACACCCACTCTAGCCTCAAAGTCCAGGCACCAATACAGTCAGCCACATCCGCCTGCGAGAGCAGGATTCTAACAGATCTGAGTCACCCACTCCCCCGCAGTAAGAGGTCATCCTCTCTATCAGAAAGCCCACTTTGCAAAGTGCTCTTGTTCTACACCCAGATCGCCACCATGACCCACATAAAGCCAAGTCCTCCACCCCAGCAGTTGCCGGCCGTATTCTCCCCCTCTACCCCCCAGCTCACAACACAACTCATATCGGCCTCATCCTAACCCAAGGCAGCCAACACTACTCCTATGACAAGTTTCCTATCAGAGAACCACTTTTAACTCGGGTACATCTGAGTCGCGAAGGACCCCATCCAGCTCTTTGCTCAACTCTTTTGTGCCCAACTAAGTTCCAGCCTTTCCAGGAACTAGTCACCAATTACCTCAGAGAAGCTAAACTCTCCAAGCCCAGTCTAATAAATTCCCACACCTCCCGAGGGGGTATGGAGGAGACGCGCCCCTATGTGCTTTAGGGACCAAGCCACAGAGGCCCCTAAAATTCGAATTGCAACCACTCTCCTCAAACCACGCCACGATATGGCCAGCTCCTAGGGAGCCGGTATCAAGCATCAAAAGCGCACAGCAACTGTAGTTAAGTCCCGGTAAATACGACTCCCTTCATTGACTACGAAACCCCCAACTATCAAGCCACTGAAGCCCCGAGTGGATGCCAAGACCCCCGCCAAGCCTCCAGTCACTGGAGTTTCCTAGGTCGGACTCAGCTCCCCCAAGGCCCAAGCCGCCAGGAGTAGCTGGCTGCCCCAGGCTTCTGCACGCCGGGGACCCTAGCCGCGTCCCCATTGTTGCGGGTCCCCCAGCGGCCCCGGCAGGGAGTAAGCGGACCGTAGGGACTCTCACCTCCCGTGCCACGGATCCGGGCCGCACCGGACCGGGCTGGGCCGAAGGACCTCGCGTTCCGCCGCGCTCGCCTGGACGGTGTCTGCGGCGGCGGGAGCCGGAGCTGCGGCTGAGGCGGAAGCAGCCAGCCAGGCCCGGGCGCCACGGGCTGGCTCTGGCCGAGGGTCGGTCTTCTCCGGCGGCGGCGCTCTCAGTCTCCGCTCGCGGTCCGCACCAGAAAGCTTCCCCTCCCGTCCCTCTCACCCAGACACCCGGACGGGAACACGAGCCACCCGCAGCAAAGTTCCGCTGTTGTTCTTTCCCTGCGGCGAAGGGATACTAAACTGCCCTTCTTGCCTGAACAAGGAGATGCGTTTACTTCAGAGGACCTGTTCGGGAATAAGTTAGATGCAGAAAAATCCCAGGCCAGAACCTGCCTGGAAGTGCTAGGTTCAACTGAATGGATTTGCATTCATTAGCCACCAAAACCACACATTAATCAGTACAATTGAGCCTGAGCGCCTACTTTCCTCAATTTTGGGATAATGTCAAAACTTACCGGGGATGAGATGAGGCGGATCTAAGACTACCTTGGCGATAAGCTCATTACTGTCGAGAGTCAATGCTACCACGATTGTCGCCTCCAAAAGAAGTTGACGCACGCCTTTAATCCCAGCACTTAGGAGGCAGAGGCAGGCGGATCTCTGTGAGTTCGAGACCAGCCTGGTCTACAAGAGCTAGTTAGTTCCAGAACAGGCTCCAAAACCACAGAGAAACCCTGTCTCGAAAAAAAAAAAAAAAAGCACAAAAAAAAAGAAGTTATTCTCCCTTAAATTGATGCAAGCCATGTAATACTTGTTCTTTCGCCCTTCATCCCTACTTACCTCCTCGTCTCAGATTTTCTGTTGGCCAAAGCTGTCTACAGAATTATCTAGAAGCATAGCAGAGTCGGGGGTTAGGGGACTGGCTGCGGATGGGGGCTTTTTTTGTTGTTGTTGTTTTAAATCACTGACTCCAGCACAGGTTAAAATTACTGGATTTTCTCCCTGGATTTGGAGATCGTGAGGTTGTACTCCACCACTTTCCTAAGAGCTGTATTGTTGTCTTTCTCACTACATTCCCTTGTCTCTTTCTTCTCCCCTCAAGAAGTGAATATGGGTGAGAGATGAAGATATTGGGTAAATGGGAGTAATTTTTTTAGTTTTATTTTGTTTTCCTCATGAAATTAATAGTATAAAAATTCTCATCTCAACTGCATCTCCCTTCTGGACTTTCACACCTCTACATATCAGATATGGCTATTTTCAGAACATATTAGGTTATCAAAATTCAAGTGTGCTTTCCCAAACTATCTTTGGGAATTTAGATATGCCGCAGATACTCCCAAAAAAGGTAACACAAATTTGACATATTCTCTATTTTCCATTCTTACTCAACAGCTTGACTTCTGAAACTCTTACACTCTTTGCCTTGTCAACTCTTCAGAAAAGCTCTGAGTGTCAGTCATTTGCACCTGGAGTTTTAATCACTATGTAATACACATAAATTTCCATTTGGATTATCTTTCTTTTTTAAAGATTTATTTATTATGTATACAATGATCTGCCTGCATGTATCCCTGCAGACAGAAGTTGGCACCAGATCTTATTACTGGTGGTTGTGAGCCACATATGGTTGCTGGGAATTGAACTTAGGACCTCTGGAAGAGTAGTCAATGCTCTCAACCACTGAGCCATCTCTCCAGGCCCTGGATTATCTTTCTGAAAACTGAAAATGTGTTCTGATGTCTAAAGTTCAAACTGGGCAGTGGTGGTGTACGCCTTTAATCACAGCACTCAGGAGGCAGAGGCAGATGGATCTCTGCGAGTTTGAGACCAGCATGATCTGCAAGAGCTAGATCCAGGACAGGTAGGGCTGGTACACAGAGAAATCCTGTCTTGAAAAACAAAAAGAGTTGAAAAGGCTCAAAAACTGAGCATATTACACGCCTGAATGAGGTAGGGAGATTGTCACAAGTTTGAGACCAACCTAGTTTACATAGTAAGTACTAGACCAGTCAGGGCTACATGGTAAGACTATCTCCTTTCTTTCTTTCTTTCTTTCTTTCTTTCTTTCTTTCTTTCTTTCTTTCTCTTTCTTATTTCTTTTTTGTTTGTTTGTTTTGATTTTGGTTTTTCAAGACAGGGTTTCTCTGTGCAGCTTTGGAGCCTGTCCTGGAACTTGCTCTGTGATCTTCTTTTGCATTTTCACTGCTTTCCCCCATTGTGCTTTTAAATCTCAACCAGGGCATAAAAGGCTTCACAGGACTACTGCCAGTCCCCCCCTTCCTTCTCTCTCTCTCTCTCTCTCTCTCTCTCTCTCTCTCTCTCTCTCTCTCTCTCTCTCTCTCATAAAATACAAAGAAGAAGAAATGGAAACAGGTGTCATACTATTTGTGGTTCTGATTAAAAAATAAGCAAGGGTATTCCCTAAGGTGACCGTGGTTGAACCTGAGTCAAAAGAGTAGAAGTATCAATTGAATTTTTAGAAGTAGACTTTAGAAAAAAGAAGAGGCAAGCAAGATGGCTTCATGGTTAAAGTGCTTGCCGTGCAAGCCTGAGACCTAGTTCATCCCCAGAACACACAAAAAAGTAGACAGAGAGGACTCCAATCCCGGCATCTGACTACCACATGTACATGCATGCCCTCCACATCACACATGTTCATATAATAGTAATACATAATAAAAGAGAAATTGTGTTTGTTAGGTATATTTCCTAAGATGAGCCTCTCTGCAGATGCAAATAATTCTAATTAGACCAAATTAGACCAAATAAAAGATGCCCACGTTTAATGCAGCAAAGGGGAGAGAGAAGGGGAGACTATGCAAAACCCGGAAACACAAGTTCCTTTTCTGGAAATAGCCTGTGGGAGTGGTCCTGACCCTCCCTGGGGATAAATTACTGCTTGATGGGCTTTCCCTGAGGTGGAGTCCAGACCAAGGCAACTCCCAGGGGAGGGCTGGGGTAACTCTTCAAACCAAATAATGTTGTCAATGACTTTAAAGTTATTTATTGGAGATGTACACAAGTGGGGTCCAAAGGACTGTGAACTTGTGGGAGTGGGTTTTCTCTTTTTTGCCATGTGGGTGCTAGGGTTCAAACTCAGGTCATTAGGCTGTAGGTGGTGGTGGCACATGCCTTTAATCCCAGCACTCTTGGGAGGCAGAGGCAGGCGGATCTCTCTGACTTTGAGGCCAGCCTGGTCTACAAAGAGAGTTCCAGGTCAGACTCTAAAGCTACACAGAGAAACCCTGTTTCAAAACCCCTCCTCCCAAAAAGATCAAATTACAGTAAACCCATATTTCCTTAATGAAAATTCCCAAGTTTGCAACCAGTCTATTGGTGTGCAAATTATCTTGTAGCTTTGATAAAAAAAATATTGATAAGGTTTTAAGTAGTTTCTAACAACATTTTGTTGTTTGATATATACAAATTTTCTTTTGTTAAAAAATATTTTTATTTGCAGGTTTATAGCCAGACGGTGGTGGTGCACGCCTTTAATCCCAGCAACTCTTCCCGGAAGGCAGTGGCAGGCAGATCTTTGTAAGTTCGAGGCCAGCATGTTCTAAAAGAGCTAGTTCCAGAATAGGCTCCAAAGCTACAGAGAAACCCTGTCTCGAAAAAACAAAAAAAAATTATTTTTATTTGCAGGTTTATGTCTGGGATATCATATACGTTGTGTGTTACAGTGTATGTAGAAACTAGAGGAAGGTGCTGTGAGTCATCTGACATGGGAGCTAGGATTCAAACTCAGTCCTCAGCGAGAACAGCATATGCTCTTAACCACGGTGTCATCTTTATAACCCCAAAGATTTCAAATCTATAGGAAGAAATGTACATTCAAATCTGGGAGGACACTCTCTCCAAGGGGAAAGCTGGACTGGCAGTGCATGTTGTAATCCCAGCACATGAAAGATGGAAGAAGTAGGATAACGAGCACAAAGTCATTCTTGGCCCTATGACCAGAGAAGAACCTCTAAGCATCATATTATAGCTAATATGCCAAGGGCACAGGACAACGAAAGAATGTTGAGACATAAGAGAAGTCTGAAGTTACTTACAAAGCACTACATGCAAGGAAAGCATGAACTGATGTATTTCAAGCCCCCAAACAAATCAGCTGTCATCCAAATTACTATATGCAGCAAAGAGATATCCTTTAAAACTAAAAGAGGAAGGCTGTAGAGGTGGCTCAGTGGTTAAGAGCTCTTGCTGTTTCTCTAGAGGACCAGAGTTTGGATCCTAGCACCCACATTGGGTGGCTCACTACTATCTATAACTCTAGGTCTGGAGGACCCAACTCTTTTTTTCTAGCAAAGCATGGTGACTCCTTTCTTTAATCCCAGCACTTGGGAGGCAGAGGCAGGCAGTTCTCTGTGAGTTCAGCCTGGTCTACCAAATGAGTTCCAGGACAGGTTCCAAAGCTACAGAGAAACTCTGTCTTGAAGACAAACAAGCAAACAAAAAGATGGGGAACGCTTTTAATTTTAGCACATAGCACTCTGGAGGCAGAGGCAGGCAGATTTCTGTGAGTTCAAGGCCAACCTGATCCACAAAGTGAGTTCCAGGACAGCCAGGGCTAGCTACATAGGGAAACCCTATTTTGACAAAACAAATAAATAAGTAAATAAACAAATTAATAATAACAACAACCACAATAACAATATCTGTGCTGTGAATGGTGGCACTTGCATGAAGTCCCAGCACTTGGTAAACAAAGACAGGAGGGCTGAGGATTCAAGATGGTCATCAGTAGCATCCTGTGTTCCAGGCCAGTGGCATGAGGCCTGTCACAAGCAACAATGCTACTACTGACAATTTAAGAGAAAATATAAAGCAACCATAAACAAATTCACACCAAATTCTAACCTCCTAGAATGAATATTGCTATACATAAAGGGGAAAAGTCAATTCAGGTACAGGAATTGAAAGTGACTTCAACAACCAATCATCAGGACACCATCCAGACACCGCACCTTAAACATCAACACAGAAACTTCAGGGCCTGGAGCAAGTGCCTCTATTTCATCTTCTCGGGAGTCCAGAGGCTGAGATCAGAGGACTATTCCAAATTCAAAGCTAAGAAGCTAAACGCTGTCTTGGAAAAAAAAATGAGTTGGCATTACAGAACTGTGAGAAGAAACCACAGAAGAAAAACTTAACACTGGATTTAGCAATCTAATAAGAAAAGCACAAGCAAT